ACTCTCTCGGCAAACCAATCTCGTGAATCACCGAACGTTAATGGCCTCCTCAGTTCTGAATGAACGAACGCGGAAGAGCGTTTCTGCAACCTCAGATATGGCGCTGCTCGGGGAACGTCGCTGCTCTCAGCATCAGAAACCAAACCAATATGACCAAACGATGAGAACGGAGCGTAATCAACCCTTTCAATATGTACTGAAAAAAATATCACCAGTTCGTAACATATCAATTCATTTGATAAGCTCAATAAGAATCCGACGAAAAGCTTCGTAGAGAGCAGTACAGTTCATCACAATTGATTAATCGAACCTGCCACGAAAGGTACAAAAAATTTCACCTTTCTTCGAAGTGGATGATCTGGACGGGATCATTTTTCCATGACTACCATAATCCTTTTTGTTTGTATTCCTTTTTTGAGAAGTACCAAGATTATTTTCTTTCGTCATAACAACATCATCACTGTCATCATCTAATATTGTCACACACGTTATTGCTTCAACTCGACGATCCTTCTTAGAACCTTCCGTTGAATTTCCATTTATTGGTTTCAGTTCTTTAGATGCCTTAGATGCAACTTTTTGTTTCTTATTCTTTTCGATTTTAGCTGTATTATCCTTCTTTTTCTTCGCCTTCCCAGCACTTTCCAAAGGTTTGGATTTCTCTTTCACCTTTGCGAAGATAGGCGCCAATCTGGTGTTCATAATCTGAACGGACGATGCAGTACCTTTCGCGTCTCGAACAGTTTCGGCATTCTCATTCACCGTTTTTGACGTTTTCTGAAAGATTGATCCTCATTTCAACAGAAAATAAATGGGAATGGGAATGAAGAGACTGATGAACAATCAACGTAACGAGCAATTTATTCGGATCATCACAAACCGCATGAATTATTTTGTCGGTTTAGAAATAATGTTCAAATTCTGATGAATCATTGCAATTGGCTGATATTCATTCGAATATCAGATCAATTGAACACACAGTTGGAAGAGTATTCATTCGAATATCAGACCTTAAAAATTAAATGCCCACTTCTCCGATTCAAATATACAATTAAACAGTCATCGAACGAAACAACTTACTTTGCAAAGTAGAA